AGTCTGAATTCAGAAGAGGAGTGAAAGGGAGTGGATGAAGAAGCAGTTGGATGTTTGGAACTGTTTCTGAAAATGAAGTGGTGTAACAAATGTTGAAATGGAAAAAGGGCCTGAAGGAAAATGGAGTTTAGTTATTCAAACGTTGTTTCCCGTTGAACGCAAAGAATCTTAGAGTTCGTTACTTAGGAATTATATATATATGTCACATTTTGGTTCTATCACACTGTCTTTAGAGTCTATCTCCTGGCAACGAGAGTGCATTCGAACAACACCCATCGGACCTAGATATGGTAAAAGAAAGTAGAGTCATAATCATGTAGTTTAGTTATTATCGTGAAATTTATAGATCTAACAGTATCCCGAAGCCTTTCAGAACTATTATAATGTATTCCAAGCCCCAAGTAGATTGCCCATGTTTTAATTCAAACTAGAGCCTCTCTTGTCCTCGGTTTCAGGCAGTAATGGCATGGGATGCAGAAAAGTTCCTCAAACTAAAATTATTGTATCGTAGGGAAAACGTAAACGAAAGGGATAAAACAAGAGAAAGACTCGCATATATATATTTTAATCAAATTCAACACCTTGAAACACAAGAGAACGGGATTTAAAAGACTCTTAAATCTTATCTTGTCTAACAAGTAAAGTAAAGGATAATTAAATATATTTCCTACCAAATAAAAGATTAGAATAATTAAATAACTTTACTAACAAATCTAGAACTAAAATGCTAACTATAAATAAAAGAAATAAATAATTAAATTAAAGATCCAAAGATCATGCTTGTACTCATCTCCATCATTATTTAAGAGACATTTTGAGCTTGTGTGCTGTGGTAATTTGCAGATTCTTCACTACAGCAGTGACATCTCATTTTAATATGCCTTTAGGTACTTGCAACTGTTTAAAAGTTTTGATTCATTTGATCAAACCCGAGTAGAAAGCCTTTTTTTTTAATTAAAAGTAGTACATCACAGTCCGGAACATAATAATTACCTAGTCATATATGCCACGGTCTGGAAACCATGCCGTATTATATATCAATAACTATTGTCTCGAAATAATGGACACTGCATATTGTTGACGATTTGTAGTGTCAGCCACAAATTTAGCTTTAATCCTCTGCAATGTAGCTGTTGTTTCCATCATGTTAATCCTTTCATCGGGCATAACAGCTTGACATCTCATTGCCAAGCCAAAGATAGACGAGACACATTCTTCCTTTGCATGAAAATTGTGATGTTCACTTGCTAGCAAATTAGGGTCCACAATTTTAGCAACTGTATTTTCTTGTATCGCTTCAAGTACCCACTCCTTCAAGCTCATCTCTTCATTGAAAATATCATCAGTTGGCTTCTTGCTCGTGAACATTTCCAGCAACAGTATGCCATAACTATAAACATCTACACTTGTTGACACTCTGCCTCCTGATCCATACTCTAATTGTATCACAAGCACACCATCATCGTTGGATTAGTTTAGATTTTTCAATTTAAATAAACATATTTAGTTGGGATTGACTTTTTAAGTGCAGTAAAGAGTGGTTACATTAAATCGGAAAAGGAAAAAGTTTCTAATTTGACCCATTATGTAAAATAATAAAGAATGAAACAGGGAAAAAAATAAAAAATAAAAGATAATAAATAAGGAATTAAGATATTCAACATGAAGAATGTCACCTGGTGCGGCATAACCAATTGTCCCCAAGGTTTTCGTAAGAACAATATTCTCTCCATCATCAAAGAGCTTGGCGATCCCAAAATCACAAAGGTGGGCAACCATATCCTCATCAAGCAATACATTACTCGGCTTTATATCACAATGCACGACCGGGAATGTATGGCCATGATGGAGGTATTCCAAGGCTAATGCAACATCTATTGCAATTTGCAGCCTTGATATCAAATCCAAGACACAGTTTTCCAAGTGCAACCATTTCTCGAGGCTGCCATTTGGCATGAACCCGAGAATCAAAGCTTTGAATTCTGTGTTGCTACAACAACCAATTATTTGGACCAAGTTTCTGTGTCGAATGCTGCTAAGTATTTCACATTCCGTATCAAAACTGCGGATAACTCTTTCTAATTGCGAGTTGAAGACTTTCACTGCAACATTTAGTCCATCAGAAAGCACCCCTTTGAAAACCGAACCAAAGCTGCCGTTTCCAAGTAAGTTTGTTTCGTTGAAGGCGTCAGTTCCCCTAACAAGTTCTATGTATGAGATTCTTCTCCAAGTAACACCAAGCAAAACATCATCAGTAGGAGCAAGCACTCTTTTTGGTTTTCGTGTCCTCACCAACACAAGTAGTATAATGGCTGTTAATATGATAACTGAAATGAATGGAGGCACAATATACTTCATCAGCCGATCAACTTTCTTCAGTCTAGAATTCTTCTTGAGATTGTTCCCAATGCATGGGGGCACTTGAAATCTTTGATCTCCACAAAGAGCAGAGTTGTGAAGAAAAGATTGAGAAGTAATGTTAACAAAAGGGCCACCTGTGGGAATCATTCCTTCCAATTTGTTGTAAGACACATTAAAGTATTGAAGGAATTTGAGGCCCTGTAAGGACTCAGGTATTAGCCCCGAAATATTATTGTTAGATAAATCCAATGCCATTAAGTTTCTGATATTTCCCAGTGATGGAGGAATGGATCTTTCAAATTTGTTATCTGACAAATTTAGAGACGTTAATGATTCGCAACCATCGATTGATCTTGGAATGTCTCCAGAAAATTGATTATAGGACAAATCTAGCTGATTTAGTTGTCTCAAACCTGCAATTTCATATGGAAGTTGACCACTCAAACGGTTTGAGGACAAGTTGAGAAACAAAAGGTCCTTCAAATTCCAGAAGTTGAGAGGTATGCTGGAATTCAACTTGTTAGAACCTAAGTAGACATATCTTAGGGATTTAAGCTCACCGAAGCATTCAGGTATGGGACCTGTGAGGTTATTTTCATCAAGGTACAATTCACCTATATTACTCATCCCACAAATATCTTGAGGTATAAACCCATGCAGTTGATTGGCATGAAGAGATAATCTCTGAAGCCGATTTAATTTCCCTAATGTTGGAGGTATAACTCCTGTGATTTGATTTTCTGATAAGTTTATAAGTTGCAGACCAATCAGGTTTCCGATGGTAGAAGGAATAACTCCGTTAATGTTGCAGTCATATGCCTGGAAACCTGTAAGAGATTTTGATAAATTCCCAATGGAATCTGGGAGGATGCCGTTAAGTGGGTTTTCTGAAATCTCTAAATACTCCAAGAACTGGCAATTAGCTAATGAAGAGATAAATCCTAATCCACTCAGAGAATTACCCCAAATGTAAAGCCTACGTAAGAGCCTTAAGCTGCCCAAGTTGGGTATGGAGCCACTGAATAAGTTTTTTTCCAATTCCAACCTATATAGATTAGAAGCATTGTTGATAGAAATAGGAATCTCCCCATTGAGTTTATTGCCCCACAAATACAATTTTCTGAGATTTGAAAGTGAGAGCTCTGGAGAGAGAGGAAGACTTCCAGTGAAGTGATTATCTGTAAGATCTAAAACCTTCAAAGTTGATATGTTGAAGATCAATTGTGGGATTGATCCGGACAATTGATTGCTGCCCACGAAGAATGCCTCAAGGAATGCCAACTTATTCAGCTCTTTTAGTAAATTACCTGTTATATTACATCACAATCACAATCATTGTTCAGGGCTGCATGAAGTAGTCACAACAAACATATCAACTATCTATTTATATCAACTATCTATATTTATATCTATATGAATCTTTCAAATTATATTTATTCTCTACTACTACAAATAAGAAATTGTTGTATAAAAATTTGAACAAATTAAAATACCTTTACATTTAATATATATTTCATGGTAATTTTATAATTATAATAAAAAATCCAAATTTATTATGACAGTAATCTATCCTTCTTAATCTCAATCTATAGTATTCTAATCTATCCTTCCAAATTAATTTTTTAATTTTCTTCTGCCATTGTTATACATGCATGGATTTACTGCTTTCTAAGCTACCCACGAAAAGGATGAAAAAACAAAATGATAATATATTCAATTATAAATTATTAGATTGGAAACACCTATCACTCTCCAATGTAACCAAACAAGAAAACAAAAAATGTATTTGTGCACTTAGAAGTTATTACTAGACTTGGAAACGTTAGTGACTAGAGAATAGTGATAATTTGGATTCGAGGAATGATGCAAAAATAAAAAAAAGTATATTTAATAGTATGATTATATTAATATTGGATAATATAAAAAGGTATTATATCATCATTTTTAAGTTTTATTGTATCCACTACTTTATAAAACTACGATTTTGATTTAAGAGAAGGATTATTTCCATATAACCAACTATCAAATTATTATATATTGGAATGTCAAATTTGCTATTTCTTTCAACATATTGTGATTCCGTAATGGATTTTCTATGAGAATGTTATTGTGAAACAAATTGAGCATTGAATTAGATTTTCTTACATTTTATTCATTTTCATTTCTATTCTATGAAATAAAATAAAGCAAACATTCAACAAAATAAAGAAAAATGAAAAGGATAATAGCCCTTTTGCATATAGAAAGATTTTGGGTCAAATGAAATATATGAAGGGAACATCAAAAGCTAATAGCGAGATAACTACTCCTCCAACTATAAATATAAAGAAAGAGAAAGATTAATGCATTTATAATTTACATTAGGACATTATATAGGTCTTTTGCTTTCTGTCATGTTACATAATTTATTTCATTACAACAATCACACTTTTCTTAAGCTGTAGTTTCATATTTTAATTACTGTAGATTGAAATGATATTATTATATACTGGCGTGTGTAATAAAATAATTATTTTTCTTAATTAGAAGAAAAAATAATGACCAAAAGAAATATATATTCCTCCACGTGCACCACACTTGTCATTCCTAATTTTGTAAAATGGGATGAAAATTGTAATTCATCATATTAATTAAGATATTAATTAAGACTGCATCATTTTTAAGTCAAATTTTAGTGAATATATAAACCATAAATATGTAAATGGTTATGTCGAGAACATATAGAGTTAGAAGACGGTAGGTAGGGTATAATTATTTTGTCATTTGCTAAAGAAATGGTGAAATTGCATGAAACTAAACAAAAATAGCTCATACCTGTCAAATTGTTGTCGGAAAGGTTTATTTCCTTCAAGTACGTACAATTTCCAATTTGTTTTGGTATTGACCCTGTAATTTATGACAAAAACATGATGAAATGAAAAAAAATAAAAAAAATAAAGTGTATATGAGAAATCTAAATGATAGAAGTTGATACATATCCCATGGTGGACCATTCACGATTGAACAATAACAGTAAATATTTTGATAAGTAAACTGGTGGCTAATCTAATTGTACTTAATTGTGATGTTGATTATAAAAGAGATTGAGTTTTTGGCATTTTCTAAATCAATGTTGCTTAATTAGTTTACAAAATCAAATTATAAAAGAGTCCGTGTATATTTTGTAAAATATATGTACACTATATAATTCTAAATTTATTTACATATTCTAAATGGATTACATAAATAAATAATACTAACATGTATTAAATATTTATCATGAAAAAAAATATGTATAACTGCTGTAACTTTTATTAATAATAATGACATTGTATGACTACAAAGTTTATAATAAAATAATAATTATTATATGGTGAAAAAGAATAAGTAAAATTGTTATTTTCTCTTATATTGAAAATAAATATATATACTAAAATCAAATTTATATTAGTATAAATTTATTAGTGAGATAATATATTAATTATTTATATATTGATTCAATATGAGCATATTAGGCTAGCTATCTTGTCAAATAATTAATATATTATTCATTGATGATGATGAATAATATATTAATTATTTGACAAGATAGCTAGCCTAATATGCTCATATTGAATGTTCTGGCTAAAAAAACAACGCTGATTAAAAGAGGTAAAAAATAAATTATAACCTAATTTTTTTTAAGACTTAACACTGATTAAAATAAGTAATATCCTATTTCCTTTTAGACTTAAATGGAAAAATCATGTGAAAGTAACTCATTTAAAAATCTCTGTCCCATGCATCGTACGGGTTACGTACTAGTTTAGAATTGAATGAAAATTGCAAATTATCGTAAGTAATTAACTTTAAGTCAAATTTTAGTGAATGCTAAAACCAAAAGTGAGAACATAGAGTCAATAGATGGTAGGGTATAATTATTTTGTCATTTGCTAAAGAAATGGTGACTTCGCATGAAACCAAACAAAAATAACTCATACGAAAGAGAATTTCCTTCAAGTACGTAGAGAATTTCCCATTTGCATTGGTATTGACCCTGTAAAATATTCAAACAAAATTATGATAAAATGGAAACACATTCAAGGTACAATGATTCTCGCAAAACAATTTAGATCTCAATTGGCATTTTGGTTAAAGAGGTGGGAGTTGGGATGAGAGTCGGTGCATGAACCATTTTACTTAAAATTTAAATTTCAAGTCACAATTGTAGAATTTGAAAACAATGTTCAATAACCTAATATTTTAGTTTATCATTATTAATTTTCACATACATTTTTATTGTCTTTAAAAACCAATTATGCAAATTTATATATAGTTTTTTGTATTTAAAATTATATATTTTAAATTTTTTAATAAACTTTCACTTATTAAAGATTATTATTTTTTTAATAAGCATCTTTCCAATCATGTTTGTTCCAATAATTACTAAACTGATTATCAACCCATGGTCATCGATCAGTTAATTACCAATAAATATTAGGTACTCATATCAATTGCTGTTAGTTTAATTAAATCATCTACCTAAAATTATTTATATTCATATTTTTAAAGGTACATTCAAAACTAAGAACTATAATGAGTTAATTTCATTTTTTTGTCTAAAAGTTAGCATTTACCTAAAAAAGATGCATTATTTTTAGTGGTATTGACTTTGAGCATTAAGTTTACCCAATCATCAAAAGGTGTTTATTGACAAGTTAGTGCAAAATATTTCGATAATCAAAATTATTTGTAACGACCAATATTACATAATCTAATGAAAACATTAACTGGTGCTTAGGTTTCAATTGCTGTTAGAGTTCCTTCCACAAATTATGACTCCTATATTAAGAGGCCCTCCCCAAAAAATAAATATTTATTCGTTACTTATTTATAGGAAGCTTGTAAAAGAAAAACTTGTATAAAAGTTTGAACATGGTTCAACATATTTGTACCAAAATTTAAAATGATGTTATAATTCCTCATTAATGTGTTGATAATAAGATGACCCTGATTATTCAACAAAGAAGTTAATGTGTTGGTAGTAATGAGATGTAAAAAAGGATAGTGAAATGTTACTTGCCTGTGAGAGAAGCATTTGGGATGCTTAATATCTGTATCCGTGAAAGGTTTCCAAATTCTGGCGGAATGACTCCTGAAAATGGTTTACTAATTACTAAAACATGACCAGCACATCTTTTCTTAGCAGTATATCTCAATTATGCTATATCTCGTGATGCATGAATAATGTGGTGTGGTTGACTCATTGAAATCGTCGATGTGAGTTTACATACCTTTAAACTCGTTAGCTCCCAGATACAACTCCTTAAGCATGCTCAAACTTGCAATTTCAGTTGGAATTATACCATTGAAACGGTTGATGGATAACGAAAGGACCTCGAGATTTGTGCAGTTGCCTATATTTGGTGGAATGGTGCCCTCCAATTGATTGCTCGACACCGAAAGAAAAGTCAGGTTGGGTAGATTGTTGCACATATCACTTGGAAGCGTACCCGAGAGGTGATTAAACGAAGCTCGAATCTCTCTAATGGATGACAAATTGAAGATAATGTACGGAATGGAACCAGTCAATTGGTTAAGCGTCAAATATAGTATTTGCAGGGAAGAACAATTGCCAATCTCCTCCGGAATCTTTCCGTTGAGTTTGTTGTTTCTAAGGTTCAGTCGCTCAAGTTGAGGTAAAGCGCCAAACCACACTGGAATTTGTCCGGTCAGTGAATTGGCTTCCATATCTATATGCCTCAGGCCCTGCAAGAGGGACAACTCTTGAGGTATGGCCCCTGAAAAATTGTCGGTAACATAGTTTATCATTGTGAAACTGCATTAATCAAATAAGAAAGCCACTGCATTATTCTTAAAACAGTGGTTTTGCATTGATTCGTGATATCCAACTCAATTGTTTTAATGTGGGAATATGAGGTTTACTTGTTGGAAACATATTCTTCAAAATATTTTCTTCTTTATTTGTGTGTAAGGAAAAAAGTATTATGTCATTTATATCTGGTGGTGCTAAGTAATGTTATGAGGATAAAAGTTTAATTTCATTAATAATTTATATTACACGCAGAATCAGACAAGACGTAGTTACCTCCATACCATTAAATTATTTGCAGCTTATATCTAATAGAAAAAAACAATGCTTGCAACTTGTATTATGCGTGTTTTTTGGACTTTGCAACTTATAGTAAAATACAACATGAACTTCATGAGCATTCATAATTTAAAAACTCGCCTACATCTTGATTATACACGTGCCCATTTTTACCAAGTTTTGGTTGAATTTTAGCACAAAAAAAATACCATATGTTGCAAATTCCAAAGAAGACATATAGTACAGATTGGGAAAAATGTTTACTATATCTAATATTTGGAGGGAGGAATAATTGTCAATCTCTTTAGGGGTTTCTACCTGTGAACGTGTTGTTATTCAGACGCATTATCTCGAGTTGAGGAAACGCCCCAAACCAGGTTGGTATTTGTCCGGCGAACGAGTTGAATCCCATATCTATAGACCTCAGGCGGCGCAGACGAGACAGCTCGCGAGGTATGGGCCCCGTGAAATTATTATAACTGATGTCTAAGTATTTTAAAAACGTCAAGTTCCCAAGATGTGGGGACAGAGTTCCTCTGAGGCCAAAACCGGAAATGTTAAGTCCCGTGACTCTGTTATTGTGTTCGGTGCCGCACGAAACACCAATCCATTGACAAACAGAGGAGGAAGAGGTATGGATCGACCAGTTTGTGGCCAAGAGACGGTAAGGGTCGGAGGTGATGGAAGTTTTGAATTGGACAAGTGCGTTTTTGTCGGTTGTGGCGGCTAAGGAAGTTATATTGTTAATGGTGCTG